AATACAATATATATATATATATATATATATATATATATAATTATTATTATTATTATATTAGTAAAAAGTTCATTAAATGCACGATGTCTCCAAAGTCATTGAGTAATTGTGATCCCACTATTGCCCAAAGTAATGGTGATTATGTTTTTTCTCATAATCAAGCAGCCCTGTGGAACTGTACAAAGTTTTGCATGTGCAGATTTGGGCCTGCTGATCATCAATCCTGAACATACAGCCAAAGAAGATTTATAAAAGAGACAAACTCACCACTGGTCCCTATTGAAGGATGCCAGGAAGCGGGTGCCAGGTGGGATTGGTGCCATGCTTATATGTGAGTGTGTGTGTGTGTGTGTGTATTACAGCTGCTTAGTAAATCTCATAAAGATGTTAGGCAGGATGCCTATGTCCACAAGACCCATCTCTGACCTTGTGATTTGATCAGAAAGACACATGATCCCATTATGAAGAGTCGCATCCGTGGCTTTATATCCTGAAGAAACATGAAGAAAGAATGAGGGACTGAAAGGGAGGTGAACAAACAAACCATCACTTAGTTCAATAGTATCATGTTCATTCTACTGCTCATTTCATCTTTTAGGAAATGACCGTGTCTGACCGGTCAAAGCTCATAAATGTCGCGACTCATAAAGAGGCTGTTACTGTACAAGCAGATCCAGTGTCTATGAGAGACCGTTCATATCAAGATAATAAGCATTCAAACAAGACTCTGGGTAAATGTACTACATCATTATAATTGTGTGTGATCTATCGCAGATACTCTCGCTTTGTATGAAGGTCGTAAGAATGCGTTTTTAATCAAATGTGATCGACAACACGCCGAGAGCGCATCTGTCATATTTAAAAGATTTCCCTGAAAACAGCCCTGTGGTCTCACCGCATCAGCCGCCTCTCCCTCCGTTCAGCGCTGTCTCTAGCGACCGACCGACCGACCGACGCTTTCACGAGCAGCGCGTGAAGAGCGAAGCAACGGGACAGCGTTTCCACGGTGCGATCTCAGGAAGTACAATATTTCAAAATAAAAGACCCCACTTCGGCGTAAAGATTATCCTTGCACTATAACATTTAAATTAAATTTGTTATTTTTAAAAATTAAATAAACTGGGAAAAAAATGAATGAGCCCATGAGCCAAGACAAAACTGTAATGAGCCAATGTTACTGAACATACATAAAAAGTTAAAAGATTTATTAACATTCATTACAGAGTGCACACAATAAATTACTGTATATATAATATCTCATTATTGTTATTATTATTATTATTATTAAATGATAGACTCGTTCAGTAGAGCCTTGTGTGTGTGACTTCACACTGCTGTAAGGACGATGCTCCCTCCGTTGTCCGGTTGTTTTCTTCTCTACTCAGTTATTTGAGTGTCACGCAGCTGCAGGTGGATATCATTTTGGGTCATTATGAATAGCATTATAAGGCGCAGTTACTTTGCACAACAATGTTCAATTGTTTACATACAGCTCGTCAGAATGAGCCTACTCAGCAAATCCGTTTCGTTGTAAGCGCTGTGCAAAGTCACATAGTGATAGCGATACAAGCGAAAGCAGCTGGCAAGAAAAGGTAACTTACGTGCAGAAAAGCGCTTGTGCTGGTCTGGAGGTTTGTGTCTTTAGCTTCAGCAATATTGTAGCTCTGGGAGAGAACCGGATTTGCTTCCTGTATTAATTAAACTGCTAGCTGTTATTACTAGTGATGCTTGGTACAAACGTTTACTTCCGTAACCAGAGTTTAAATGCACAGCCATTGTTACTGTTGTTATACATTCCTTGGAATTCAATTAAAATTAAAGTAACGTTACGTGAAATTAAATTAAAAATATAATGTGTCCATTATGGTTTTACTGGAGGAACCATAACTGTATTTTATAGTAACAGGTATTGTATTTTGGCGGAACCATTGCTTAGTGTGGTCCATTTTTTGTAAAGAAACATCGTTTTGCGACTTTCTGTAACTAGTGTACAAAACCTCTATGTAAAATGTCTCTTTTTTTTTTTAACAAACATAAATGGAGGTGCTTGGCCTTCAGAACATATTTGTTAACCTGAGGGGTTTCAGCTAAATATGAGTAAATATGAATTTGGCCCTTTTAAGTGATTTATGTACTTTTTGCAACCACCGTGTCTCAATACAGTAGTAAACTTTCATTGGTGTTATTATTAACTAAAATTAAAACTGCATAACATTATTTTTGTTCATTAAACTAAAGCTTAAATAAAATAAAATACAAATTTAGATAAAAATTTAAATAAAAAATGAAAGAAATGTTGTCTTGCCAATTGAAATAAAATGTTGAAGTACAGAAAATAACTAAAACTGAAATACAAATAAAATAAAGCTAAATAGAAATGTTAAAAAAAGACCAAAGCAAAATGACTAAACCTAAAACTGAAAATATAAAAATAAAGGATAATTTAAAATATTAATAAATATACTGTGATTTAGCAGATTTCTAGCAAAAATATGCACACACAAAATATGGGACAGCCATTAAAGCCTTTGCAATTAATTAATTAATTAATTATAATTACAGTTGAATATCAGTTCAATATATTATTCCAAAATTATGGCATAAGTTAGCTAAGTTTTAATTGTTACACAAAATAAAGAATGTTAAGACACCCAGACCATTTATGTTATATAGTTTATCTTAAATGCAGGATTTTTGCCTGTAATGGTTTAAAAAAAAAGTCTTGGGACACCAGAATGTACATCTTTTGCCTGTTTATTAACTGATTCATTAGTTTTACGACTTGTATGTAAGAGAGAAATGTTCAGGGAATTGACGTGACAACTTTCAAATGTTTGGATGGTTGCGTTTACTCTGACCTTTCAGGTGCAGTGATGGTGGAGGATGGGACGGTCATGAGGGGACGGGTAACGGTGTACTCCGTGCCAGGCTGTCCACACTGCATACAGGCCAAAGCTACTCTGAGTATGCTAGGTGTGCCTGTGTGTGATGTGAATGTGAACAAGCACAGAGAATTAAGAGCACGATTGAAGAAGCTCACAGGTCTCAGTGTCGTACCACAGATATTCTTCAATAACCTGTATGTGGGAAACAACGAGGACCTCCAGAACCTGGTGAGACAAGAAACAGTAACTGATGCATGATTTCACTATTGACTAACAGCTGGCTTGATATTTACTTCTGGGAAATTAGCAAATTGGCAATAAAATAGAGTTGTTGTTTTTTATTGTTCTTAGGATCCTGAGCGGCTGGAACGTCTCGTCCTGTCAGTAAGAGAGGAACCCGTGCCGCTGGATGCTCCGCCTGTACCTGGGGAAAATAGCCTTGACTCTGATGGTGAGGTTTATGGAGGTTAGTATGTCATGAACAGTCTGCTTGTTGTTGTGTTCAGAAAAACATGCTCGGATGTAGGGCTGCACGATAAATCGAAATGGAATTGAAATCGCGATTCGACAGAAGCTGCGATTGTTATGCGTATCTTTCAGTGAAGCACGGTTCTGTGATCAGCAGTAAATCTCCATCCAAAGGCCAGAGGGCGCTCTCGCACTGAAACTCCAAATACGCCTCGCAGAAGAAACCCAGGAAATGCCTATAGCGGTAGCTGGATAAACAGAAGATTCAACTGCTTTCATTGATTCAACGTGACTAATAAACACACGACTACGGCAATATACGGTTTATCCGAGTTCTTATTATAATTTTCATTAAAATAAAGTATATTTATAATGCAATGCCTTTATCACTGATTAAATACTATGAAATATGTTGCGTGCCTTATTCTGTGTAAGAAGCCACATCATCTCACAGAAGGATTTATTTCAAACACTCGACTGACGTTATGAAGTGAGTTTGGAGTAAAAATATGTTATTAAATGTGGTATTTTCACATGCTTTCAGATGGAGCAGCATTTACTTCACAGAGCCGTAGTTCACTGAGAAGCTATGCAAACAGCTGTCATTATCACGAACGATTTCTTCGATTTCATAATATGATTTCCTGCTGATTACAGAACCGGCATTACTAACAAAATGCAAATCACAAATCGATGACAATCGCATTCGATTAATCGTGCAGCCCTACTCGGTAGTTTTCCTACAGTACTTCCTTATACTCGTTGCTGGCCTAGAGTGTTGAAGGAATGACTGCTATTTGTGTTGCCCCGTTTTTTTAACTAAGGAACTTGGCAAGGTTTATTATTTTGTATTTTTTGGTGCCTGCATGAGCCAACCTTTCCATATCACCAGCTGTTTCTCCACCGATATCTGCTGTTGTCAGTTTATAGTGATGAAAGATGACTGAATCAGTCCATCCCCTAAAGGTCTCGCCCTTGCTTTTATACAACTAGAAATTGTATATGTTATTAATGGTTATAACAGAGCCCTGTTTCAGTTCAGAGAAGGTGACAAACTCTTTGTATCTGTTTGCTTTGACTACTAAAATATCTTAACACAGTGCAACCCAGCTGCTTTATTTTTTAGCTTTTTATCAACATCATTTCTGAGCTTTTTTTTTTGTTTTTTTTAAAGCATCCTTGTTTTTACTAGTTTGTGGTCTGTACGTTTTTTTTTTTGATGTTTTTGAAAGTCTAAGCATAAGTCTCTTATGCTCACCATGGCTGCATTTATTTGATCAAAAATGCAATGAAAACAGAAATAATGTGAAATATTATTTCAATTTCAAATAACTTTTTTCTATTTGAATGTTTTAAAATGCAAGTCGTCTTTAAATTTAATGCATCCTTTCTCAATAAAGTATTAATTTAAGTAGTTTAACAAAATGGGAAACATAAATCCTGCCAATTCTGCAAAACTTTTGGTATTTTATTCTACATTTCTAGTCTAATGCAGATGGCTGTACGCCTTAGAATATATCTTAGAATATAGGAAAATAAATAAAATAGGAAAATAAATGGACATTTATAATCTTAGTAGATGGTAAAACCTCAGATTCGGACATCTTGCTTACCTTCATGTAGCATTTTTCAACTTGCAAAAAGAAATAAAAATGAATTAAAACTATATAGAAATAAAATCAATACTAATAAAATATCAAAAGCACATAACAGCAAGAAAAAGAAAATCTAAAGATAAAAGCTAATTAAAAATATTTCTAAATACTATAATAGTATATAAATAATACTAAATAACACTTAGCTTAACACGTACTTATATAACACATACCATGCTTATCTTCATATAGCATTTTTCAGCTTTTAGACACATTCCTAGTCTATTCTAGAATAGTAATGATGAGTTCCTGCCCACAAAGACATTTTTGTGTTTACTTACTGTGAAAACCAGTGAAAGGATGGCGTATTGAATCGTGTTTGCCATTGGTGTTTGCTCTCATTGCTTGTTCTGGTTCCACTTACTTGCACTATGTAGATAGGAAGGAAGCAGGTGAAATTACCCAGAGTTTAATGGTGAGGATGCCTTTGAACTGTATGTTTTGCATGCGTCTCTAAAGCATGAAACATGGAGTTACACTCAATGATTCTTTAATTGCTTATGAGTTTGGTTCATTGTTAAAAGTTACCTGCTTGCTATTGAAGTGTCTGTATTGAGTATAAAACTGCAGTCAATTAAGTCTTTAACATACAGACACCTTTATCATGTATTGTTTTTTTTATAATATTATTTCTAAAGTATAATAAATATTATTTATCCAGTATTATTTCAGACTTTCAGGCGTCGATGTCCTGTCTATTTTTAGTTTGTATAATTAGGGCTTCACACAGTTAGTTAAATTAATAATCAAGATTGCGGTTAGAGGTGCAGCAATGAATTAATCATGACCAGTGTCAATTGCAGCGTTCCATTTAAGTCTACACACGCTGCATCAAAATGTGATACCTAATGTGGAGCATATTTTTTGCAGATGCTGAACATTTTAACATGCCTGTTGCACAAATGCAATGGGGAATCAGATTTAATGTTCAAAAGTTTCAGGTCTATGAGATTTTTTTTTTGTAATAGAAAGGTACATAAAAACATTGAAAAAACATATATATTATTACAATTTAAAATAACTGATTTCTATTTTAATATATTTTAAAATGTAATTTATTTCTGTGATCAAAGCTGAATTTTCAGCATCATTACTCCTGTCTTCAGTGTCACATGATCTTTCAGAAATCATTCTAATATACTGATTTGCTGCTCAAGAAACATGTCTTATTATCAATGTCAAACACAGTTGTGCTGCCTCATTTGTATTTTTTTTTTTTGGAAATCTGAATATTTTTTTTTTTTTTTTTTTTTTTCAAAATTCTTTGATCAATAGAAAGTTCAAAAGAACATAATGTATTTAAAATAGAAATATTTTATGTCATTATAAATGTCTACGGTCTTTTTTTATTTTATCATTTTAAGCATCCTTCTTGAAAAATAGTATGACATTATGACCGAATGACATCAACAATGACGTCTTCATAATATTTGCTCACTGAATTTCAATTAATCTTCTCTCTTAAATCTATTTGCATACTTTTATTGATTAGTCTTGTCTTTCTTGTACATATTTTGTCATTTAATCACATGCTGATCACTGTGACAACAGCAAACTGACTCTGATGCTACATTTCATTTACACTAAAACCTAAAACATAAACCTACCTATAACTTTAACACTATAACTGTTTTCGCTGCCTTACAAGTGCTGGTATTTCCTTCAGGAAACACATATCTAGTTATCAGTTGCGTAATGAAAAAAAAGACCTTTTGTGTTTGGATGTTTCAGTCAATCTTATTCTCATTGTTTGTGACACTTGCCCAAAGCAGCCTGTGAGCTCTCGGAGGCACTGAGGAATCTGATCCTGAAACTCTACTCTGATCATCTCTCTGAAGATGGCAAGGTATCGCACCGTTTCGCACACTGCATATCAAACGGATTCAAGACCATGTTCAATGGATTCGCCACAGACACAAACGCTACCTGCGATCAGACATTTGATGTTTGTGGCGGGTGAATAGACGCCACATTATTATGCTTTAAATAAGAAAGGTATGTCGTTGTGACCGTCTGATCTTCACTTTTGACCAGACAGTTGATTACAAGGCCATGTCCCGGAGTCTGTGCTTTGAGCGGTACTGTGATCTAGCTGTCCACCTTCAGCGTGTGGAGCTGCTGTCTCTGAGTCGTGAAGAGAAACTGGCTTTCTTTATCAACATCTACAACGCCCTCGTCATCCACGGGAACCTGCGTCTGGGCTTTCCCAAAAACATATGGCAAAGGTATCGGGTAAGAGAAGAGGAGAACGTTCTGCTGGCTTGATTTTGCTGTTTTGATCAACAATAGAAAAAGGAAATGTGAAATGCTTTCAGTGCTTGTATATTTGGTCTCATGTTTTCCAGTTCTTCAACTATGTGAGCTACTTCATTGGTGGTGAGGTGTTCACACTGCAGGATATTGAAAATGGAGTGCTTAGAGGCAATCGAAAAGGTGTGGCACAACTCATGAAGCCCTTTTCCAGGAACGACCCTCGACTGCAGGTATTCCAGGACGAGGATGCGAACTTTGTTCCCACTCCGGGTATATATTATATAAGTTTTTTTTAATGGGTATGTATGGTTGTAGGAAGAATCTTTAACATCCACGGAATCTTTGTTGTTCCATTTCAAGTTTCTTTTTAGAAGAAAAAGTTTCTTTAGAATATTAAAATTTATTTGCACTAAGAAAAATGGTTATTTTAAGAACTGAAAGGTTCTTTAGGAAACAAAAAAAGTTTTTTCTTTGGAATCATGGTAAAAAAAAAAACTATTTTGGAACCCTTTTTTAAAACTGTATGTCAAGTGTGAATTCTGATTTCTATTGCCTGTGATTTATGGCAGAAAGGTACCACATTTTTAGCAACAGCAACATTTTCAGTGGTTTAAGCAGTTTCAAGGTGAATTTGGAAATATTTCAGGTTTATTTTATTAAGCTTGTAAATCAGAAAATACGACTTTAAAATAAAATATAAGGCTGTCAAAAGACTGAAAATAGATTAAAATAATTAAAAAACAATTCACTGTAATTTTATATATATATATATATATATATAAATATAAATTA